AGATGATGCATTTGTACCTTCAGATGTCCATGCGTGGCCGGAAGATCTGCACACTTCAGTTCTTTACGATAAATCGCTTGATCGCCTTTTGAATTTAAGCCGACGCACTCTTCTCTCTTGGGAATGGCTTGCAGTTTTCAGTTTTTTTTCCTGATACGATAAAATTATATTGCAACTGAAAATAAACAATTTAGCATTCGTTTCGAAAGCCATTTGGTAATAAAAGTGAAGCAATCCACATCTGTTTAAATTATGTTTACTCGAAATAGGAAGTTAGTTTCACAACCGTTGAAAAGGAGTAGAATTACGGAAAGTTTGCATGGGACAAAGTAAATTAAAAAAAAAACTTTACATATATGGAAAATGTGTTCTTTAGCTACAAGATTTGCATTCAAAGCTAAAAATTCAATCCAAAAGCGAAAAATGAGTTTCCAGAGGGCAGGTTTTTATAATTTCCTGCAAATATATTGTATTATTGTGTTTTTTAATGAGGCGCTCTTTACTTCTTTTAATCTTTTTTTGCTTTTTTAACAATCGAAACGGAAGAAATTTGTTGACTTTTCTAAAAAAACCTCATTTTCTTCATTAAAAGTCGCACAGTGTTCAGTTACCTTTGACAATAAGAGCACGCAAAGTAATTGAAGTAGTTTGTGGAACTTCATCTTTGCCGGATTCAATGATTTTTCTTCGCCTGAAATCACCCCCTTTGTCTTGGTTCTAAATACATTTCTCAAATAACACCATCCCTTTTTTTATGATTTTATTTTGCTAAAATCGATCTAAAACAACTAAAACCAACGTAATAACATTTCAAAGTCGCTGCTGACAATTGTACCTCGTTAACCAAAATGACAGATGAGTTTTTGTAGCAGAGTGTAGTGAAGTGAAATTCTTGTTATTTTGTTGAATCATACAGTTAATCTTGAGAAGCTTATGACCTTGGCCATGTACGTGCTTTTCATGAGATTGATACAGGTGGAACAATTTAGAGATAGCACAGGTTGTAATTAGATTTTCGAGACAACTCCCTCATTAACCAAAATATCGAGGCTAGCGAGATGATTTGTTTTGTCTAATTCCAAAGATCTCTTACAAAGGGGATTGGAGGTTATGCTGTCATACCGCATCAAGGACAGCGTATCAATTTCTCCCATCAGTCGACTCTGTAAAATTACTTCAGTGCTATCTATCTTGCAACCATTCGAGAGCCAGCCTAAGCTCACAGCTCTGGATTTACTTGGCAAGGAAACGACTAAGTAAGTAACTTGTAAGAGCAAGTGTTACAGGTTTTGCCCCTTTGTTTGTCAGTGGGCCCTGGGACCCACTCGGTCAGCTTAGTTTCCCAGGCCCGTTCGGTTAGGAGCTCGTGTGTTGCGTCTTTAGTTTCGGTAGAGTTCACTTTACAACCTCATTATTTGTCAGTTTATCACTCATCGCAGCACCATCCATGTAAGTTTTCATCTTTCTGTTATTTTATTGTTTTCCCTAATCGTATTTTCTGTGTTCTGTTTCCGTTTCATCGTTTTCTGTATTTTAGTTGTATGAAGTTTCACCACTCGACACCGGAGATAAATAAACACATTTATTTGCAAAGTCTTCGTGTTTGGTTGAACACTGCGCTGAGAACGCGACAGCAAGGAATTCCTTTCATCAAGCACGCCCTCGAAGGATCGCCTCCCGGGTAAAACGTGCTTTTACCTTGGAGTCGGCGCAAAACCTATGTACAAAAAAATTTACAGAGCGTAGTCTGCTTAGCAAAAGTGATTCAAAAGTGAATAAACGAGTGGTTTACCAGTAGTCACAAGAGTGCTATCTATCCTCTTGCACGAAAGGAGAGGCGCGAAAAACTTTCTACCCTCTTGCGCGTGAGTCGCCCTATGTGCGTGACTCACGTTTCGCACGCGAGTTATCTTCTCGCGCGCCCCAACTAGTTTCTTTTCCGTTGTTGTTGATGATGTTTTAGTTGTTGTCGTTGTTATGTCATTTTAGGACTGCATAAATCTCCTTTCAGACCAACACTTATTTATTCATCTTCTGGAGAATCACCATTCACATCATCATTCCTGTCTTCACGACTGTAGCATCTGTCTTTAATTTTACAAACCAACCGCCTGGCATAAAAATCTTTATATTCCTCAGGAAGCTCCTCTAACGCTTTAATGGCGCGGTCCATTATTTGCATGGCCCTGGCGGCAGGGACCAGATCCTTATTGCCGTACGTGTCCTTACTGTCATAAAAGCCCGCGTCTAAATGGCGCCAAAATACATTAACTGCTACTCCGAACTGTAAAGAAATCACATTGTGGAACCACATAGCAGGGATAAACAAAACATCACCAGGCTCCAAGAAGCACTCAAAGGGCGTTGCCTCGGCAAATTTTGGAAACTTTTTTAAGTCTGGGTGGTCGATATCCATTACCTCTGATTTATCACCATTTAAATACAGTTTTGTTGTATCTTTTGGACTGTAGAGGACAACGCGTTTCCTTCCCGTCACTTGAATAAGAAGGTTGTCCATAATCTGTAAAAATCAAAGAAGGATTTTAAGTTTCATCTTTGACCAAGTGTGCAACAAAGAATTTCTCGAAGCCGGTGTCAGATGAAGTTCAGATCACATGACACCCCTGATTACTGGTCGCATGCTCTCACACTTGGCCCTTGGAACTGGAACCGAGCTTAACAACACACCTGTTTTATATCTAACACAGATCACAGGTCCCACATACTGCTGCAACCAGCAGTGTAAACGAACACAGTGAAATACAGTGACATATAGGTCACTGACTGGCTTAGAGATGAAAACAGAATGTTGACGAGAAAATCCAGACAGAGCTGGATTTTCAGAACTGGATTCTCGGAGCTGGAAATCAGAACTGATAAGAGAGAATTTGAGTAAGCTGGGAAATTGAGAATGGTTCATCTTCTTGCATATTTGGTTCAAGTTTGATGTCATTTCTATACAGAAAAGATGCAATGTGTAGTTTATGGGATTCATGGGGCGTTAGTTACTCCAGTTTTGGGTTTCATTTAGGCTAAGGTCACCCTTGATGAGTTTCACTCTTTGAGTTCCACCCTCCACCAAGGGGCACCAATAGGAATCAGAGACAAGAACCAACATAGATGATCACAATGTCCAGGCATAAGAAACTTTTCTGAAGTCATCTTCAATAATCTTGCCTTTTCAACAACATTCAATTCCCACTTACTTTTGATTTCTCTCACCAACAAAATATGAAAGTGACAATCTTTGCCACGTGTGATGAACTTGAAAATTAATGAGATGAATGAGGTGATAATTTCTTATTAACCAAGTGTGCAGGCCATGATGAGAAATATTAGCTTAAGGTTTAGTAATGTGAAGTCCAATAAAAAAAAAAAAAAAAGTCAAAGACAACATTCTTCCTTGTGGCTTCAGGCAAGTATTACTCGTTTGTAACTTACATGGCGCTTGAACCAAACTTGTCTATTTTCAATTTACTAGCTTTCAAGAACCACAATATACAGAATATGACCAAATCCAAGGAAACAGTCCTTTTGGAAAAATCCAGACCAAGTAAGAACCATTCAGAAAGCTCAAATTGAACTCAAGACCTGACCTTGCCGTATGATAATAATTCAATCAGACCTTTACGTAATGTATAATAAATACATTATCAGTACTTACATCATAATGTGTCCATAACTGCCCTTGTGCTGAACTGATTCTGAACACACTTGAAAAGAATCTGTCCTCTGGGTACAACTTTGGGATTTTTATATCTTGTGCTAAGTTGGGGAACTGAACTGGTATGTCAGAGATATCCTAACAAAAAAACATGGATGTGTGTCAAAAAAACTGCATCCTAAAACACATTATCTGATCAATGAACAAAAAAAATGATAACTATATATTAAATTATTAATATTATTAATTTAATAATTATTTTTTATAATATTATTAATATTAATTAATTAAATTACATGTAGGTAATGATTAAGATAAATAAATTAAATTTTTGTCCACTGTTCCTACGTCAAAATGGAATGTAGACTTTTTTGTGGGTAGAAAAATGCAGAATTTGACAGACACTCTTCACAAGTGGTAATGTTTATGAAACTATCACTAGCATGTTGGCCAAAAAAATTTGAGAATAGAATGATTGGGAGAAAGTGAAATGAGGATAAGGGGATGGGAAAATAAGGATAAGAAAAGAAAGTTAGAAAAGAGAGGGTGACCGTTATAAATTCACAGGTAAACAGAGGATGGAAAGAAAGTAAATAGCTACTGCAAGAACTGTGTTCAACTTGGTTATGATGACAAAAATCTAGCTTAATAGGCTATTTTCAATATCAAAAATTAAATTTGGCTCTGAGGCTTGGGGAATAAAACAAAAGAAATCAGATAGAGGTTTGTATTTGTATTTACAATATTTAGACAAGCCATCCCAGTTCTGCTTGAAGCTGGTTAAAATGGGGGCCTGTACATCCCACCATCCCAACCCAGGGGAGGACATCCATCATGCAGTAACCTTGTGTGTGGGAAATTAACGTCTCCTACCCCCAACCCTGCAGGAGACGGGACCTCCATTTATTCGTCCCTATCTGAGAAGACTAGAATATCTAACCATTTCTTGATGTTATAGAAAGGTAGCAAATTCTTCTCAATTATATTAAGACCTTGAGTGTTGGTCCAGCTGGGGCTTGAACCCTCGACCTCCCGCACAACAGTCCAGTGCACTATCCATTGGGCTAACTGGGCGGCGGTCTGAGAAATGAAAAGTGAATTTCTTTTGCTTTATTCCCCCCAGCCTCAGTGCCGTGTTAGAATTTTAATATATCAAAAATGGCCTATTCAGAATCCTTGCTAACCAACCACTTCTCTATAAACAAGATATAAGCACAGTTTGAGTCTAACAATAACATTTTCTTAAAGTAGTGAAAGACATCTGGCAATGAAGTTTAAATGAATTGATTTCATACCTTTCTAGGATCATCTCCAAGAGATCTTAGATAATATTTCTCCTCCTGAGTCCAAAAAAAATCAGACTGTCAAGTTGAGTGTCAGATTTCTGATCTTC